AATAAATATACACAGTACACATACATATATTATGTAAACAAAATTTTTTATTTTGGAATGCGATTAATCGTGATTAATCATTTGACAGCACTAAATATACAGTTTAAAATAGTCTTCTAATTTAATATGTTTTCAAATGTAATTTATTACTCTGATAGAAAAGCTGAATTTTCAGCAGCCATTACTCCAGTCATCAGTGTCACATGATCCTTTAGAAGTCATTTTAATATGCTGAATTGTGCTCAAGAAACATTTCTGATTATTATCAGTGTTGAAAACAGTTGAGCTCCTTAATATTTTTCTGGAAACCATGACAATGTTATTCCTGTGACCCCTGTGTTTTTAACAGGGGGAGAAAGGTGACCCTGGGCTGATGGGAATGCCAGGGGCAAGAGGACCAATTGGACCCAAGGTCTGGACAGCATTTTTTTTTTTTTCCTGAATTAGGACTCTTACAGTCATACTGCCTTGTCATATGGACATAAAATACTGTACCCTGTTCGCTGAATATTGTTCATTTATTGCAGGGCTTACCTGGACATAAGGGAGAAAAAGTGAGTTACCTCTCTGAACTCACTTATCATTCAGTTAATTCTTTAATTTTGTACCCCAGTTGTTCATCGTTAAGTTATTCTTTTGCTGTTTCGATCTTGTCCTGTTAGGGCTCACAAGGTTTCAGAGGTGAAATTGGCTTAAAAGGTGACAAGGTAAGTTACCATAGTGCAATTAGTTTTATTCTGCAAATTGTAACTAGTCTAATCCATCATTTTTTTTACATTTCTGTACTGTTTCAGGGATCAATGGGTCTTCCTGGAATGCTTGGCCAGAAGGTTCTGAAAATATTATTATTTCATATTATTAGAAATATATTTTTTTAAGTTATGGCGTAGTTAGTATTATATATAAAAAGAATTGGTCTATTATTTGTTAACATAATGAAACAAAGGCAATCTTATATGTGATTTTAAAATAATTTCTCAGGGTGAAATGGGCCCAAAAGGAGAACCTGGAAGCTCAGGGAACAGGGGACCCACCGGCCGCCCAGGAAAAAGAGGAAAGCAGGTGATCCAGCCCCAAACACATAATAACAACATGATAACAGTGCAAAAGCATTGGAAATAAATGACCGTTATTATTGATTTCTGATGCAGGGTGCAAAAGGTGACATTGGTACAACTGGACCCATGGGTCCTGCAGGCCCTCAGGGCTCCCTTGGTCACCCTGGCCCTCCTGGTTTGCCCGCCTCAGGTATTAAATTTGCATACAAGTGCTAATAGTTCTCAAATCTCTTGTGGTCTCTAAAAAAGTATAGTTTCTTTGGGAAAATTGCTTGGAAAATTTAGAACATAAAATTAATCAAGTAAATGAAAATAAATGTAATTTTAAATTTTTACATTTATTTTTATTTAAAAAAAAAAAATTAATTAAAATTAAGAAAATTTGGCCATTTCTAATTACTGGGAGGTGTGGGGGGTGGGTGTCTTGTCCCCTTCAATGTCAATAGTGGTAACGGCTCTGTCAAGATCACATGGTGATATTGCAGCATTCGCCATGTGCAGACAGTGAAGCACATGGATCTTAAATCACTGTAGGAAATCCCACCACTGGTCTATTTAGCTTCAGAAGCAACCTGATCCATGACTGAAACAGAAGCCCCAAAGGAGACTGAAGCCATGACATCATGTCCTTGACTGACGGCCGGAGCGGCCAAGCTTCTTGCAGAATTCCAAACATTATGTCATCACTTTATTCACAGGACAGCTGCTGTCTTGTTTTGGTTTCTGTGCATATTAACTCAATTGCTTTCTCTTCGTGATAGATGAGGGCCAGGGTTAGTAGCTCTTGAAATCACTCCATTACTTTGCATCACATGGAGGGACATTTATGCCTTCGGCTTAATGTTGTTTACCTCTCCTCCAGGACTGTACATGGTAGGACAGAAAGGAGAGAAGGGACATCCTGGCAGCCCGGGACGCTGCGGCTGTAATGCCCCCTCCTTTGACCACTGGGGCAGCTATCCCAGAGTGCCAGCGGTAAGCCAGCAATGCAGCACGTTTTACAAACTAAGCCTGAATATTCCCAGATATCTGTGCACTGCACTGGATTGATTGTTACTTTTGGATGATATTCAATTTTAAAACCATTCAATTCATTTAGCCAGTAAAGCAGTTGATAATATTTAATGTCTGTGCTGCAGATCTTTGTGGTGAATAACGAACAGGAGCTGAAC